GTAGAATTCCTATCTAGCACTACAATCGAATATTCTTATTCAGCACCAGTCGTAGACGTCCAGCACCACTTTCGGTCCATACTTGCTACACGTGTTTTGCACTGTTTCGTATTCACACATTCAATATTTCATACCACATTCTTTAACAAAAGTCGTGAATTAGAAGCTTTAGCACAGCTCCCTCAACCACGATAAGTAATGCATTTTTGGATTTACGCTGAAAAATCTAGAGATTAAGGATCAGTGGATAAAGATCGAACCAGCTGTTGAATTTGTCGTAAGTCGAGGACAGCTTCTGTTTCACAGGCCTCAGCAACGATTTTCTCACCACAGTCGAATGCTTCTCGAATAAGATAATATGAATTGCAAAGATGTGCCTCACTGTGAATACCCTAAAATGAAAGTTGGGATTCAGAGTAATACAAGCTTCTATTAGCATCTAACAATTTGTATGACTACCTGAGCAGTCTAGTGAATTTAATGACCTCAGAATTGCAAGAATCAGCTATTTATTCGTGAGTTAAAAAATGGGAGACAGAATACATTAAATGGTACTGGCGCAATCTCAAAATCGTGTAATGAAAAACTAGCTGATAAAAGAGAAGGATCCATTTTGAAGGCTTTTTTAGACTGTGTATTTGATTCAATCTCAAAATGTGAAAGCAGAAACTGCAGCTGCACTGATAACGAGAAGGAATGCAGCGATGAAGTGATAGCTGTTCGAAGTGCCAAACTACGTATATAGGCAAGAAGTCCTCCGTCCCCCATTTTCTGTGAAGATAGGCTTTCAGAAGATAGGCTTCGCAGATAGCTGCTAGCCATGATAGACTGCTGCGCACATTCCAACTTAGTCTAGACAAAAAAAAAAAATAAGGTTCTCCCTTTAATTTACGCTGTGTCTAAGTTTCATGAAAACCACTGCAGCTAGAGAAATGAAAAATGCGATGCAAAAGTATACTCGAAGGCTTGATATTGGAATGAGTGGCAGAAGCGATAAACGCAAGTTTCGTAGCGTACGTAACTCCAACGGGATACTATCCTTCATCAGCGAATGCGGACCTGTTAATCACTTACACACAGCAGACTTTTCCACCCTCTTCACAAAACTCCCGCATCACGTAATCTACGACGCCCGTAGCTACCTTTTACCATTTGTTTTCATAGCGCCCAGTCTGATGCCCTTCTCATTACCCCTAATAGCATCTTTTGTTCTGAGTACTTTCGCCCTCGCTACTCTGGATCCGTTTACTCACGCTTTGAAATAAATGGCATCCTCCGTTACGTTGTGTGCGACTCTTATGTAAGTTTCGCTGGCTGCATCTTTCGTCAGGTTAAAGGCGCTCCCATGGGTGGCAATGTTAGTTCCGACATTGCCGACCTCACTTTGTCGGTGCTTGAATTTAACTAGTCCCTCGCTTCTGCTCTTTCATTATGTCGATGTTATTTTAGTCCTCAGTTGCCCGGACTTTCTTTCCCTTCGTCTAAGCACATATGGCCAGGACCTAGATATGGATTGTACACGTTCAGGTACCGCCGTCAATTGCTTAGAATTGACCTTTGTCATAGACAGCAATGCTCGCATTGCTTTTTCACTTTACTGCAAAACTGATCTTTTCACCTTCCCTAACATTAAATATTCTTCTCTTCGCAGCAACTTACACGCCTCTGTCCACAACGGTATTGTTTACAGTCAGCTCAATAGATACTTAGTTATCGAATCCACTTATCAAGGATTTATCACTTCCGCTCGTCATCTCCCCTTCCACAACTCGCATGAAGGATTTCCTTCTCACAATATTAATCGCTTAGTCCACACATTTGTACACAGAAATAAATACCAGTTATCTAAGTAGTCCCCTCCTACTGCGGTCCTCTGTCGAAATTCTGAAACCACACTCTTCTACAATAATTATACCACCCAACATGTACGTATACGTCGCATTGTTAACGTTCTGTTCATATCGCTACCTCCTCCTCTTGTTACCATAATAATACTTTCCAGCTATGTCAATATGAAAAGAACCAAAACCAATGGCGATGATGTTGCACCGAACAACCACACGGGCCACAGAACATTCATCAAGGTTTCACTTTTATATTACAACATTTTAATCTTTTTCAACTATTCTAAGTTTAATATAATTTAAAAATCTTTTCTCTATCTTCTTCCTCTTCTTTTTCTTCTTTCTTCCTCCCTTCCACTCCTTCCTTTTTCTTTTCATCTCTGAACACCACGACCGTCATACTGACGAGGTCCAGTCGTGGTGTTGAGCTAAGACGTATATGATATGATTTAATGAGCCGAAGCGTCTTTCCTCATTCCTTCTTCCTTTCCACATTCTTTTCTGTTCTGTATCTTATGCGTCTTCCTTGCTTTGACACCCAAGGTCAACTAGGACGCTACAACCAGCTTTCAGAAATAACTCAAAGATGCCAGAACACCGTTATTAAATGGAAAATTAGCAACAAGTTGGACTGTTTGGAATCTCTACGCAGATAGTTGCACATCGCGTACATGTCGTTTGCTGGTACATTCTATCATTCAGTTATGCCGAATCAAGAAGTACTCAATAGAGAGCTAGGTCATGTGAATATTTTGAATCATTTTACATTTTTCTAATGGGGATCTCATTTTTGAGATCTGGAGAGCTTTACAAAATTTGGGCCGCTAGAATTTGCCAAAAGTAACTTGGCTTATTTGAATTCAATCCATTTTACTGTGAAATGGGGGCTTAGTGCATTGCAAAAAAGATGAACCTGCAGCATGCTGTGGATTGCTGGGCCAAGGCTGCTCAAGCCGGATTGGCAAAGACTCGTGCGATGCTTAATCTTTTGTATGCACTCATTATTCTTCTGGAGCAACATGCGAGTCCTCTGACTACATATAGGCGACAGTCCTATCCTG